TTAAAGGGATTTTTTAAAAGCAATATATGGATATATCCCTCCAACACAATCTCGGATAGGCAGAAAAATTGTTGGAGATATACAGTGTCGGATCATATATCAGTGTAGCTTTATTATACCCTGCAGTACATGGGTATAAGCTAATGTATATTCCAGATTGTGTTGTTTAGCCACAGCGCTGGTTTACGGGTGTGTTTGTCGGTATATTGGCTCTGTTGTGTCCCCGAACTTCGTTTTTTCCGGGTCGAGACAAGCAATTCTAAAAGAAATACGAACTTCTTTATGTTCTTATTTCACATATTCTCCCGGAATGTAAACGGGAAGTGATCAAAAGAGTATTTGCGGTGATAAGAACTATTTTCACCATATTTATACATAAATTCGTCAAACGTATATATCCATCGTTATTATTATTATTATTATTATTATCATCATCATCACCATCACCATCACATCACATCATCATCAACGTCATCAGTGTCATTGTTTGCACTATTATAATTCTCACAATTATCTTTAAGAGTATTTAATAATAAAAAAATATCAAAATTTTGAAGATACATCAGTTGTGAATGGATTACATGTTCGTAATGAAAGTATCATACAAATGGCGTAACAAAAATTCCTCTGATTAAAAGATTGCTTTCTTCTTTACTCCGGTTTTGTTTTGTTTTTTAAATATATTCCTAAACATAAACTTTTACGTAAACTAATTCTCAGTCAGATTTGCGCTATTTCCAAAACACTGCTTGACATTATCAATAAAAAGTACCCATGTACTAGTACGTTTTTTTCTGTGTCATTTGGGTACGTTTTCTCATTACATCACGGGAATGTTAAAAAATCGAAACCCTGTAATCCACACACCAGAACTTAGTGCCGTAGAAACAGAATAAAGTAAAGTATGGCGGCGGTAATTTATTGAGTACAGACTGCATAGACCAAAACATGTTTAGATCAGAAGCTTATATTTTGCACAACGAATATTCAGAATTTGTATGCTAAGCTTTAATTTTCAGATATTTTAATCACTGTTACTTTCGAAAATAGATTCTTGTAGTTTATTATACAGGATAAGCAATTACTATAACCGAATTAATTACATGTACGGGATCCTGCGTTGGCCCAAACAGTCTGAAATTGCTTTTCCAAGCTTCCTTTGAGAGAAGGGCTGTTGCCAGGCATGAGGTAATAAGGGCCTGTTTTCATATTACAAACCTTATTTCGCTAAAAATGAATGAACATAAAAAAGCTGCCTATTTTTATTTGGCTTTTCCAAAAGAGAACTAAAAAAAAACATAAAAATCATGCTAGGCATGAGGTAATAAGGGCCTGTTTTCATATTATAAACCTTATTTCGCTAAAAATGAATGAACATAAAAAAGCTGCCTATTTTTATCTTATTTTCCTTGCCTTCCATTTATAACGCAGTATTGCTTAAGTAACTATGTTATATGGATGATATGAGCGTGTCAATTTCGCTTTTATGTATCAGACAACATGCCTGAATATAAGTAAACAATGTTAACCCTTCGCGATTCATTTAAGTGGAAACCAGGATGCAAATGGTTGTATCAACACTGTGTTACGCTCATGCAGGCCGCTGTCCTCTCTCTCTCTCTCACCTATACTCATACACTCACACTCTCTTTCCTTCTCCAGCCAACACACACACACACACACACACACACACACACACACACACACACACACACACACACACACACACACACACACACACACACACACACACACACACACACACTCCCACTTATACACGGTAATATTGATAAAAGGATCAGTTCTCTCCCTCTGGCTGCATAACCTGTTCTCATTCTTTTCTTTACGACCTTCACCTTCATCCTCTTCTTCCACCAACGCAAGCCTTACGCAACGGCCTTCTCTCCTTCGGTATTTCGAAAGCCTGGGGCGATTCTTATGCTGAGGAGAACCATTTTCCTTTCCTTTCACTTCCTCGTCCTTCCTTGTTCATTTTCTTAACTTTTTTATTTCTGATATTTTTACTTGGTTTTACTATTTTCTTTTTTTTCAGTCTAGTTTGTTTATCGTTTCTCTTTTTTTCTATTTTTGCCTTCTCTTTTCTATTTTTTTTTATTTAATTACTTTTTTATATTTATATTTTCCTATTGTTATATCCTTTTCCTCATTTTTCTTTATATCTTATCTCGTCCTCTACTTTATTCATGTTTCATTTTTTATCATATTTTTTTTTTTTCATTTATTCCCATGTTTTTTTCGTGCTTCATTTTTTTTTCATATTTCCCTTTTTAAATTTCATTTATTCTCCATCCATTTTGTCCGTCTTTATTTCACCATATGTGTATCTCCCATTTATTTCCCGTTGCATTTTCTTCACTTTTCACTTTGGCTCTTGTCTCAAATCTTCATTTCGTCATTTTTTCCCCTGACATATTTATATCTATCAATATATTTTCCTATGCATTTTCTCCAGTTTCTTATTTTTTATTTAGTATTGTGAGTACACATTTCCATAATGGCCGTACTAAGCTAGGGGAAACTCTTTCAAAAAGGGCAAAACGCAACACTTTCAAAAAAAAAAAAAAAAAAAAACTTAAAAAAGACACACAAAAACGCAACTTTAAAAAAAGTAACTTTCAAAAAAAAAAAAAAAAAAAAAAAAAGAGGGTAGGCTAGGGAAATCAGGCGATTGGGTTGGGGGGGGGGGGAGGGCAAAAGTCCCAGGGTTAGGAAGGCTTTTTGGTCCATCCGGTGATGTTTTTGAATTCCCAGAAGTGTCTCCTATGGTTCCTGGGTAGAGAGTAACAGTGACTTGCTCATTTTATAAAGGACTACTACATTTTTCTTTATTTTAGTCTTTCTGGTCTATCTTTTCAATTCACTTTTTTATTCCTTCTTTTTTATGTCTTTTGTTCCAATTTTTAAGGGGAAACTAGACAAAATGTTAAAGATGGACAAACACTATACTTTGACTGTAAGGGCGTGAGGGTAATGGAAGTATTTCATACATGAGTAATTATTTGTTGAATAACTGAATAAGTTTTAGGTTTTTAAAAGTTTCTACTAAAATAAAAGATAGAGTTTTTTTTTTTTTTTCTTTTTGGTGTATATCATTATTTATTTATTTATTTAATATTATTTATCTTTTTTTTTTGGGGGGGGGGGCATGGTCAGTTGCTATATAATACGTTGTTGAAATAAGTTTGAATATTTTATGTCTGTTGATGGATGGAATAAATTACATTAAATTGCGCTTATTGCTTTACGAAATAAGTTGCCTATGTGTGTTCGAAGCCCACAGGGAGCTTAACCATTAGTCACTTCCTCTTGCTGAGATATGTTACCATCCTAAAAAAAAAAAAAGAAAGAAATCAACCTTTAATTTCGCCAATATATAAATTTTATATATAGCTCACGGAGCCAAGACCAGAAAAAATGCACTAGTTAACTGCCTGAATAAATAGATCACAAAAATCCTCCACCAGTTAAACTTCCACAGGAAAGTCTTACAAATCCGCTTTTAAATCAGTCCTCCCCCCAAAAATGAAGTTAAAACACGAAAGATCATTTGACAAAATATATTTCATTATTTTCCAGTAAAAGAAATTAACGCGACTAAAAGAACCAATCGTTTTTTTTTTACATAGGAAAAATATCTATGTATATTATTATTTTTGCTTACATAAAAAGCTGGCTCTGCTGTTGGCTGAAAGTTTTATTTTTTTTATTTTTTTTTCCAGCAATCGCAGTGTTTTTAGTATTCATAGAAGCAAATACCCCCCCCCCCCCGCAAAAAAAAAGAAAAAGAACTAGGACCTTTTGGGCATCTACACTTCATTTCAGAAAATTTATTTTTAAAGATACACATTTACGCACACGCACATTCACACACACACACACACACACACACACACACACACACACACACACACACACACACACACACACACACACACACACACACACACACACACACACACACACACACACACACACACACACACACACATTTACACAAGCACAGATATACACACTCAAACACACACACACACACACACCAATATAGTTCCATTTTATATTTTAGTAGAATAAAAGAGAATAAAGAAAAAAAAGTATCGTATTACTTGCAACACGCATTTTTTCAACAGAATATTTGACGATGCTTTTCCGTGTTCTTGCAATTAAGACAAACTCACTCATTCATGATCGTACGGAGACAGTAAAGACTGAAGTATAGGAATCAATTAAAAAACGCGTAGGGAAGAACTAAGGACGGTGATGAAGGATGGTCACAGTCAAATTACAGAAGAATACTATCCTGACCTCCGTCTGGAAATAGCTAAACTCTTTTCATGTTTCTTATTAAATTATTGGCATTCTTATATTCAGATATGAAACCACTTTTCTTCAAAATATACAGCTCTGATGCGAGTTGGTTCATGTTGATGTATTTCATTTTCTAATATATGCCTGTTATAATTTCACAGGGGGTAATAAAGTTGATAATATATAGTGGTTTTGAAATAATGACAGAGAACTATAGAATGAAGTAAAAAGTATTGATATTAAATGCTATTAATCACACATGGAAAAATCAGAAATCTTAAAATTGCAATAATGATAAAGACTGCGTTGGTAATGTAACAAATGATACTGATGATAGCGAGTATTAAAAAAAAAAAAAAAAAAAAAAACAAAGGCAACTATGATTGACTGACTGGCAGTACCAACAATGGTTACAAACTACAGCAATATCAGTTTTATATTGTGGGTATTGTGTAGCCTTTGTTAGTTTGTCATGTCAACAACAACTGAAGCCAAAATAAGAGAAAAAAAAATATGTTGAGGAAAACATAGTTAAATGAAAAGGTTTACGTTGATCAAAGTTTAACTAATAGATCAAGTTACAGAATACCAACATGGTGTGCACGAATTTCTCACTAACATCCGCACTCAAAACTCCTGTGTCACTAATAGGTTGAAAATGATAAATATTGAACATGCCGTCCAGGGACATAGATATTGGGCAGCTCCTAATCACGCCAAACACAATTAATATCGGCAAAAAATCAGAAAATGACATCATGAAACTCAAAATTGCCAAATGGGTGAATTTTGGATATAGCCATTGCTCTCCACTGTATTCCTTGGACCATATATAGGCCTATGGTTTTAAACTGTTTAGAGATTGTGTCTGGTGTATGCTGTACTTAATGTAACTTCGGCATGACGTTTACAAATTCTGATGTCATTTAGTGGTCTATTTTTATTACTATTTTACTTACATTGTATTAATAGTTGTAACGGTGGTGTTGGTGATGATGATGATAATGGTAATGATAATAATAACGATAATGATAATAGTAATGATAATGATATTGATGAAAGGTATAATAGCAATGTTCATGATTCTACAACTACTATTACTACTAATGATAATGATGATTATAATAATAATAGTAATAGTAATTGTAATCATAACAGTAATATTAATAAAGATAATAATAGTGATAATGATAATGATAATATTGATAATAGCAATCGTAATAATTATAACAATAACACCAACAGTAATGATAATGATAACAAGTATAGCAATTAATAATAATAATAATAATAATGACAGTAATAACAATAAGAATAGTAATAATATTAAACAGTGATTAGCATTATCATTACAATCATTGATATTGTTACTATCATTATTATCATCATTATTTTTACTCTCTATTACTACTATACCATTATTGTCATTATCATCATCACTTCTGACCATTATAATCAGCGTATTTAAAGGCGTTTACAAGTTTATTCCATACTTAATATCAGATCAGGTCAGGTTCTTAGCACCTCTTTGCAACTGATTAGAAAGTGCCAAATTCTCTGAACAAGAAAATGCCAAATTCTCTGAACAAGAAAGTGCTCTGAACAAGAAAGTGCCAAATTCTCTGAACAAGAAAGTGCCAAATTCTCTGAACAAGAAAGTGCCAAATTCTCTGAACAAGAAAGTGCCAAATTCTCTGAACAAGAAAGTGCAAAACAAGAAAGTGCCAATTCTCTGAACAAGAAAGAGCAAATTCTTTGAACTAGAAAGTGCCAAATTCTCTGAACAAGAAATCCCAAATTCTCTGAACAAGAAGTGCCAAATTCTCTGATTCTTTGAACTAGAAAGTGCAAATTCTCTGAACAAGAAAGTGCGAAATTCACTGAGCAAGAAAGTGCCAAATTCTCTGAACAAAAAAGTGCCAAATTCTCTGAACAAGAAAGTTACAAATTCTCTGAACAAGAAAGAGCTAAATTCTTTGAACTAGAAAATGCCAAATTCTCTGAACAAAGAAAGTGCCAAATTCTCTGAACAAGAAAGAGCCAGAACTAGAAGTGTCAAATTCTTGAAAACAAATTTCTGAACAAGAAAGAACAAGAAAGTGCCAAATTCTCTGAACAAGAAAGTGCCAAAATTCTCTGAACAAGAAAGTGCAATTCTCTGAACAAGAAGTGCCAAATTCTCTGAACAACAAAGTGCCAATTTCTTTGAACAAGAAAAGTGCCAAATTCTCTGAACAAGAAAGTGCAAAATTCTCTGAAAAAGAAAGTGCCAAATACCCTGTTCCAGAAAGTGCAACTACAAAAAGTGTCAACTCTGAACAAGAAAGTGCCAAATTCTCTGAACAAGAAAGTGCCAAATTCTCTGAAAAAGAAAGTGCCAAATTCCCAGATCCAGAAAGTGCCAATACAAAAGTGTCAACTTCTATGAACAAGAAAGTGCCAAATTCTCTGAACAAGAAAGTGCTAAATTCTCCAATTCATAAAATCCCAAATTCTCTAATCCAGAAGGTGCCAAATTCTCTGAACAACAAAATGCCAAGTTCTCTGATCCAGCAAGTGCCAAATTCTCCGAACCAGACAGTGCCAAATTCCCCGCGCCTGGCACGTGTTTGGTGGACATTTAGCTGA